TGCATCTCCCCCACTCCCTGGATTTGATTGCACAGCACGTCTGATAGCCTATCCAAACCCAAAGTCACTGCATCTGATTAATTTGCCCAGATGTTAGCTGGGTAAGTAACACGGACAGGACTGTTCCAGAGAAGTCCAGGAGATCCTGATATAGAGCAGTAAGACATCCACCAAAAGGACTTGTGCATCAAAATGGAAGAGATTCTTGATTTGAACCTCTCCATAGGGCATGGACCTTATGCAGGCTATAGTACCAAAGATCTTCAATTGCTTGCTGCATCTGAAACACTCTGGCCTTATGGTCCACCTTCCAGCAGTCTTTGCTTGCCATATGCCAGTACAGTCATGCTTGGTCTTCTCATACCTGGGGCATTGAAGTTCCTCAAGGTCCTGCTAAATACTTATCCACTAATAAGAGAACCTTCTCTTGCCTGGAATCTCAACATTGTCCTCTTGAGATTCATGTGCATTCCCTGTGATCCTCTGTTAGAATACATCTTACTTCAGCTCACTCTGAAGATGGGTCACCCTTGTTGCTGTCACTTCAGCTAGGAGAGTGAGTGAGCTGACCCTCTCTACATGATATTTCATAGGGACAAAGTGATGTTCTATCCTCACCCTAAGGTCATCCCCAAGATGGTCTCACAGTTCCATCTCAATCAATCAATCCATTTGCCTGTCTTCTTCCCAATGCCCAATCAACATTGAGAGAAAAATTACAGATGCTGGACATTTCCAGAGCCTTACTTTACTACATGGACAGAACCAAACTAATCAGATTGTCTCCCGATTTATTACTGGCTATAGCCAGCCATTCAAAAGGCCAGGCAACCTTATCACAGCTAATATCTAAGTGGATAACGCAACATATCTCGCTGTGTTACCTGTACCTCTCCCACTGAACATCAAGCTCATACCACCAGAGCTCAAGCAACATCTTCTGCCTGTATCAGAAATGTGCCAAATTCTGAAATCTGCAAGGTGGCAACACATAGTAACCCACTGACCTTTGTCAAATGTTATGCATTGGACTTAGCCACCAGGGCAGATGCCAAGTTTGGGAGAGCAGTACAACAATCACTGTTCAGCTGATGCAGCTGATAATGCTTCATCCCACCATCCAGCGAGGGTGCTACTTGCCAGTCACATATAGTGGGATCCATGCTGGCATACACTCAAAGGAGAAAGAACGGTTACTTACCCTAGAGTAACTGTGGTTATTTGACCAGCCCTCCATTTCCTGCTTTCAGAGACCTCAGTGAACATGGGCTTTGAATTGCAAGGGAACTGATGGAGGATTGCGGCTGCTCCAACCTTGATGCCCTTGCATCGGAGCACGAGAAGTCATGGGGTGCTTGCAAAGCCCCAGTGGATACTGCTATTCAGTAGACTCTGATCTCATGCTCGTGAGACTCATGTGCACTTACAGTGCGATTCGCACTGACAACAACATCTCAAAGAACCACAGTTACTGTAGAGTAAGTAATCATTCTTTTCTCTGTTTTGGATAAGTTTCAAATATGGCTTTAATTGAATTATATAGTTGCTGATCCCCTGTTAGGCTGACACCAATACACTGATGAGGGTCAGCAGAAGACACTTTGTTTTCCTGAGAGAGAGCTGTTGCTAGTATGCTTTCTATGAGCTGGGCAGATGAACATCCTGGATTTTCTTCCAGATTTTTTTAAATTGAGCAAAAAATAATAATTTTATACCCTGGGGACTGTTGTTATTAGACCTAGAAACTGAGTTTTTGAGCATATGCCACACTTTGTTTTTATTTATTATTTGTAGTTTCACAAAGAGAAACAATTTTCTGAAAAAGATGAGACAGGTCTGCTTCCCTTTAGAATATTGCCTTGTTTAATCTGTTTATCTGTACAGTTAGGAAACTGTTGTACATTCTATTTTTTGACGTTTTCGTCTTCACATTATAGTAAGGTTTGGTACTACTGAGAGTTTAAACTCTCTGGGGCAGGAACTGTCTTTTGTTGTGGGTGTTCAGTGCAATGCAAATAGCAATAGGTTTCTAGGCTGCCATCTGAGTGTCTGTTCCATTGCTCCTTTGTCATTACAGACCCTTTTATCTCTGGTAGGTGATTGAGGTTTGACTCCAACTATGCTGTTGAAGAACTGCACCTTTTGCTATATTTCAGTCTGATAAAGGTTGATTCTCTTTGGGAATAAAGGAGGCTTGTAAAGCCATGTTAAATCTCTGTTTGACCAAGGAGGTGTACATTTTCCTCCCTAATGCTGACCATACAACAATTTTTCATTCATTTGTTATTTTGCTTCTATAACATTTTTGGGTGACCTTTCATCTGATTCAGATTGCAGCCTTCTGGAGCAGACTGCACTAAACATGTAATAGCCCTGCTTAGAGCTATCCACTTGTTTCCCTCTTTGTATCCTGGTAAAATTAAAGGTGTCATTGTCACTCTAAAAGCTTGGTATGGGACCTAGCTAGGATGGTCTTGCTGTCTGGTGAGCTGAACTCCCCAGGATGAGCAGCAAAGCTTCCTTAGTTGAAGGCCTTTAGCCCAGTTTGCACAGACTTCGGAGCATGCTATCATTTGACTTTGTAATTGATTAATTTTGTGTGGCTTGTGAGTTTTTGCTTAGTTTTGGTATATACTTAAGCTTACAGCAGCAACAATAAGGTTTATGGTTCTTTGTAGATTAGGAACTAGATTAAAAGAACCTGATGCAGAGTAGTGTAATTTATATCTCCATGTGCCAGTGAGGCCTCTTATGCCAAAGGAAGTATTCACTCAAAAAAAAAAAGCAATGTTGCTTCTATGTGCCCTTCAGCAAGTAGTGGAGGGACAGTCTTTGAAGAGCTCCAGAGGAACCTGGTCAGTAGGAAAGCTGAGGAGATGCTCAGTATTAGTGCATGCACCATCTAACCTAGCCACACGCCTTCCCTGGATCTTACCACCCACTTGTTTTCAATTGTGCTCAACTTGCTATAGGTTGGATTTGAACCATTGTCGTAGAGATGAAATGCTGCCTATGTATCCTGCTATTGATTCATTACCCAAAACTTTCTACAATCTTTAGTAGATATATTTCTACTGCAAAAAATATAAAATTTTGAGTATACATATTCTTTGCATAATTCTTATGTATAAATGTTTTTATTTTCAAAAAATGACTGTGGTTCATTCCTCTTTGTGGTGGGTGGGGTGTACATACGCACATACTTCTGTTGCAGATTTACAAATTAATATTTTTGTTAAATCCACTTCACTATTATAATTACAATACAAGGAAATTGTAGATTCTTTCTGCATAATATCACTAAGATATGGCCTATTCTATCCAGCCACACATCAAGTGCTTAAAGAGCTCTGAAAAAAGGGCGGGTGTCATGATCCCCACATCTGCCCATCTCCCTTTCCAGTGCTTAATTCTGCCCCAAATGCCCAAATCAATCCTGTCCCTTCAGCCCTCCCATCTGTTCTGCCCCCTCCAGCCTCATCTCTGCTCCTCCTGCAGCCCCTGGATTTTTTCACACCCATCTTCTAGGCCTAGTGGGGAGCCTGCAGCAGGAACCCCTTCTGCCCCTTCCAGGCTGGGGGGGCAGCTCCAAGAGTTCTTCATCCCCCTTTGCCCTTCCCAAGCCTCATGTTGCAGAGAGAGAGAGGGGAGGAGCAGAGGAGCCATCCGTTCACAAGAGAGGCTGGGGAGGAGAGAGCGCAGCTGCTCTGAGCTGCTGTACTCTTTCTGCTCTTCCCCTCCTCCATCAGAATGGTGTGGGCTTTTGAGGGGAGGGGCAGAGAGCTCTGCCTGCTTTCTGCACCAGCTCTGATTCACTGCTGTACTCCTGGAGGTGGGCAAGTGGTGAAGGCAGCCAGTCATAAGGGGTTTTCTCCAGGTTGTACTAAAAATGTGCACCCTTCAGCTACCCAGTTCATTTCTAGGAAATTTTATTTCCTGGGGCTGCAACCTGGAGCACTTTAAGCACCACACAAAACTAAAACTCTCATCCAGGTTCTTATCATCTCACATCTCAGTTACTGCAATGTCCTTTTCTTGCCCCACTCATACCCAGTCAGAATGCTTCTGCAGGGATCATTTTCCTAGCATGTTGCTTTAACATCACCATTCTCTTTGCTTCACTCTTCTGGCTCCCTCCTCTCTGTCACCTCAAACAAGCTAGTTGTTTCCGCTTTCAGGACCCATCCCAACCCATCCCTACCTTGCCTATCATCTCTCATTCAGTATCAAAAGATTGACTCACACCTCGTTTGGTTTATGATGCCAGTCTCCATTGTCTGCTTGTTAAATGTTTAAACAAGCTCCTTCATGCTTTCTCCATGCTTGACATGCTTCCTCATGCTTGACAGGAGCTCCCTGTAAACATCCATAGAGATACTTCATTATCCTCCTTCAAACCCCCCCTTAAAACTCTCCTTTGCCAGGATGCCCACAAAAAACTGTTCAATGGTTCGGCTGTTGGCGTCCTGAGAGCACAACCTGTCATGCTGACCAATATTGTCTCATTGTTTCCTTGTACTCCCCCATTTGTCAGTATACATCTGTTGTCTCTTGTCTTAAAATTAGCTTTTAAGGTCTTTGGGGCAGGGTCTGTCTTCTTGTTCTGTTTGTACAGAATCTAACACAATGGGGTCTGGGTCCATGGCTCCTAAATGCTATGATGATGATGATGATGATAAGAATTAATAATAAGATGAAAATTAGAAATTACATCCATTGTGAATAAGAATCATTGCAATCAAGAAATTGATTAAAATTCTTTATAGATGCTCATGATAAGAGTGCAATTTGTTAACAATTGCATTATTGTTATCATTTTTAGCTGTAAGTAGCAATTATTTTTACACTGAGTAGTTTAATGACACATACACAGATATTTATATAAATCCTGGAGGTTACAACATGAGCAGGGAATTTTAGTGTTTCAGACTTCAGAATAGGGTTGAAAGCATTTATCAAACTTGTATAATGCTTCTTTTTTCTTGTGTTCTATTCTTCAGAGTACCCGAGTTGCCTTGGACCATCTAGAGTCCGTTCCTGAGAAACTGAGCCTTTTGGAAGATTTCAAAGATTTTGGAGTGAGAACGTTTTCATTTGTCTCTCAGTATTTCTGAATTGTTGAGAATAATTGACAACTTCCTGATGTGCAAAGAAAAATCTATTACCTAAAGGACATACAATGAAATCTAAACTACAGTATTCCAATTTTAACTCATATAGTAATAGTGGGGTTTATTTCCTACTCTTGGGGAATTAGTTGAAAATCGTGGAATTAGTTTAACTTTATACTGGTAAGGAAATACTGGAATAAGAACAGATTTAAAAATTTTATTATAGCTAATGCTAAAAAAATTATATAATACATAGGTTGGGAAAAGAGTGTCTGTACATCTGGGTATAGTGCTTAGATAATCCACAAATATAAAGTTAGTTTTTAAAAGTCATATGACTACATTATAAAACTTTCAGTTTAGGCAAGCCAAGATAATTGAGCAAACTATTTAAAGTACTGTTGCTATAGACTTTACTGACTTGTTCAAAATATGTTGATGTGGTGCCTTTTTTATTAGTGATTATAACTTCTGCATCAATAATTAGAAAGAGGTAGGTTATTGTTTGATTTTTATATAGACATTACATCCTGCAGTTCCCCTGGCAGCGCTATCCACGATGAGGACTGCTGAATGCCTGTGGTTTCACAGCCCAGGTCATTTATTGATAAGTCTGTGAAAACTACATAATGAACATGAAAGCTATTTGAGTGTCAAGGTCATTCATTATGTTAGGTAGATACATCCTCATATATTGAGGGGGGAAATCAAGCACAAAGTTCAGTATGCCAAATTGATAAACATTGTCAGGTCACCTTGAACATCAAATGCTATCATTACTTTCTATTAATGTATACTCCACTGTTTAGGAGTGCAACTCTTACATGTAAAGTGCTTTCTTTGGAAGTCTACAATATGTGCTGCAGATCTTCCACATTCTGTTTGACAGTACCAAGGTTCAAGAATGACTTAGGTCACAAAGCCCCAATTCAGCAAAGGTCTTAAGCATGTGCATAAGTTCCATAGAAGCTAATGAGCTTTGCAGAATCAGGTCCCAGTAGAATGAATGTAGTGGTCTGAGTCTCATCCTTAAACTGTTTGCAGCTTTGTGCTATTGGTTTTTCCTGCTTAGTGGTGTATTAACAGAGAGATTGTTGTGCATAATGAAAGGAGATGCATTAGTAATACAGAACAAAGCAATTTAATTGCCAAATCCTGTTTGCTGTACTCAGACAAGTAGTCCCACTGATTTTAACACCACTACTCTTGTGAGAGAGGTAAGCAGAATTTCGCTTTACTTTATGTACTTCACTTCACTTTTTATCTCAGACAAAACATTTCCTAAAGCACTTTACAGAGTTAATTTGTAGCACAAAAGGGAGAGAGAAGAGAGTTTAGAAATTATATTTGAAGGTTGAAGAGCAATTGATAATTGATTAGCTGTAGCGATACAGAAAGGCTGAGTGGGGTTGTAATGCATACATGCTAACCTGCCATACAACTTGGGTTATAAATTCTTTGGCATGCACAGCCCTTGCCATCATCTTTTGCATGTGAAGCACTACACATCTTTACGGCACTGTAGGAATAATAATGGGTCAAATCATAAAGTCCTCCTTCAGATTTTACTTAATTACTTGATGATTTCAATAAGAATTTTGTTTGTGTAACGACTTTGGAATTTCAACAAATAATAACAACAACAATAATACAGTTAGCTCTTATTTAACCATCATCAGTGATAATTCACTTTAAACACTGCAATTAAATCCATTCATCCCAGTTTTTAAAATATCTTCCTAACAGATCCAGAGAAATGAGTGGAAATAGCTGAGGTTTGCAGTAAATCTGCCTGTATAGTTTCTATACTTGGTTTCTCACCTAATACCTACAAAAGTGTGTTTTTTTCACAGCATAGCTGTCAAATAAAGATATATGGTTGTCTTGACTCATGGGGACATATTGACAGTGTTAGGAGAGAGCCTGTCAAGGCTGGTAAGCCTACAATTAGATCTTTTGGGGCTTAATGGCTAAATTGCTGTGCTGTAATTCTTTTACATTCATGAGAGCCACACAAAATTAGGAAATTCTATTCTGAAAGCCTGTTGTTATTTTCTAAAGGAGAGTTGGGAACCCAATAGCTCGCTCAAACTTTTAAATCAGAATTGTTTAAAACATCCATCAGTGAAAATGCATATTAATTTTCATTTATTTTCTATATAGAATCTTTCATACTGAGAGATCCACGAGCACTGCACAAATTATGTGTATGGGAGACACTGTATTCTGGTCTTTAGAGCACAAGACTGTGAGTTAGGAGACCTTGGGGCTGATTCAGACTTCATCTTGGTTTTACATCGGTGTATGTCCGTTGTCTTCAGTGGAGCTCTGATTAGAGCTGGGTGAATAACTGATTTTTTGCTTCATTGGCAGTTCCCCCTCCTGATGTGGAAAAGGGATTTGAACTTGGGTTTCATGCATTGCAGGAGAGCACCCTAACCACTGAACTATGGGATATTCTGGTCTTTCTCAGTCTCTCCTGTTGAAGTTCTTCCACTTTTGATGAATAATTAACTAGCCATTGGAGTAGGGACTTGAACTAGGGTCTTCTATATTTTAGGGGAGTGTCCTAACCACCAAGCTATAGAGTAATTCTCACATCTTTTCATTGGCCCAATGACTATTCATTGTCATTCATAGTAGCAATTCATAGTATTTAATAATTGGTTTATAAAAAATGGAACACCTTCAGTGGGAGGGAGGGAGAGACCCACACCAGAATATCCCATAGCCTAATGGTTAGGGCTGTCTCTTGCAACTTGGGGCTACTCTAGTTAAAATGGAGGGGGAAATTGAACGTGGGGCCACATCCCACGTGATTGTACTAACCACTAGGCTAAAAATTGTGAAGAAGTGCACCAGTAACACCACAACCACCACCTCCTCTGGTAGTTTTGTGAATGGCAACTTACATCCCAAAAATATTTGGCAAATTCAAATCAAATTTGCAAATAGTTTCGGTTCTACCCAAACTGTATTTTTTGGTGAATAAGCTATTTGCTCAGAAAATTTTGCTCTAGCTCTATTTCTGATATACCTTAGCATGAGTGAGATCAGCATCAGACTCCTGAGCGCTAATCCTGCAATGTGATTTTGGGCAAGAAACTGCACCTCTCTGTGCCTCACTTCCCTTGTCTGTTAAGTTGAGCTGACGATACCTATCTCACAGAGGAGTTGGAGTGGTTGGGCAATTAGTATTTGTAAAGCACTGTGAGATTCCCAAAGGGAAAGCATTCATTCCGATTGTTGTTTTTGCTATTTACTCACATCAGCACTTACATTTACTCAGTGTTGGGCTGGGGGCGCAAACCCTTCTGCACAAAAGGTAGAGAGGAAAATTTTAGGAAGAGTCACAAGGGCAGGCTTTTCAGACAAGTGAAATAAGTTGGGTAATATCCACATAGAACAGACAGGACCTCCATTTTTAAGGTCTTTTCTGAAGAGCTTCTACCCAGTAAACTTGGTGGAACTCATGTGGTCCAGGGAAAATTAGGTGTTTTTTTTTAAAGTATAGATGTGCGCTGAAAAGTGTCATTATAAAAATGACTTTGTGGGGTTCTATGTATGTTGTTTCTCAGTGACTTCAAAACAAATTTACCGAGTTTACAAATCGGATAATTTTTTTTGTAACTGCCAGCTTTGCAAATTAAACTGGGGTCTGAATGTGAAGTTGAGTTCCTTCTGACTCATATAATCATTAACATCAGTACTGAAGATTCTGAGACTGGAACTTAGTTAATAAATCTTTTGGTGAAATGTGTGCCTGATTAGACCCTAGCTTACTCTCCAGTAGCTGTGTTGACTCTGCAAATCCACCTGTGAGTAAAGGTGGGAAAAAACTTTGCTTTTTTTCAGTCAAATATGTGGAGAAAAGATGATCTTGTGGTGAAATCACTGAATAAGGATTCAAAAGATCTTATTTCACTCCATGCTCTGTCACAGACATCTTGTGTAATTGTGGGCAAGTCGTTTAATCTCTATGTGCTTCAGTTCCCCATTGGTACAATGAGGACAGCACTACTTAATTTCTCCTTCCCTTTGTCTGCCTTGTCTGTTTAGATTTTAAGATATTTGGGACTGAGGCTGTCTCTTACTATGGATTTATAGAGCACCTAGCACAATAAGGCCACCAGCTTTGGTGAGGCAGTATAGTCATGCAAATAATAAATAGTTTTAATGATATCATAATTAAGGCTACGATTTAGTAATCGGTATTTTTAGTAAAAGTAAATGGACAGGTCACAGCCAATAAACAAAAATTCACGTCCTGTGACCTGTCCATGACTTATACCCATGACTTAAATCTTAGCGGAGGGGGGAGGGGGTGGCACTGCTCGGGGGGAAACCCCGGGGGGGTGGCCCCGGGGCCAGCTGCACCAGCTGCTGGGGGCCACCAAGCAGTGGCTGCTGTAGCTGCCCCCGGGGCCGCCCACCTACCGCTGCTCCAGCCGTCCCGGGACCACTGCCGGGGGCCGCCAAGCAGCGGCTGCACCAGCTGCCCAGGACCGCTGCTCAGGCAATCCCCAAGGTCAGCTGCACTGGCCGCTGCTCGGGACTGCCCAAACAGTGGCGGGTACGTCTGGCCCTGGGGCCACTGCAGCAGTGGCTGGTGCAACTGGCTGCGGGGCCACCTGAGCAGCTGTCTGCAGAGCCACTCCAGCAGCAGCCATTGGGCTGTCCCCGGGGCCACCTGAGCAACTGGCCCTGGGGTCAGCCACACTGGCCTCTGCAGAAGTCACAGAGATCGCAGAAAGTCACAGAATCCGTGACTTCTGCAACCTCCATGACAGACAGGAGCCCTAATCATAATAGATGGACTTTAATTCAAGGAGAACTTCGGTTGAGTAAGATCATGGCATCTTTGTGTAGCCATTTTTCTGACCATAAATATCCACCCTTATTTCCCTGAGCCAACACCTCAAGAAAGAATGGTTACAAATACCAGATTTTTAAGAAAAGCCTCACATATTTACTAAGAGTACATTTTCCAAGACAGAGAAGTGCTCTCAAAGGGATATTTCTGCTGTACTACAACTTTATCAGATCCTACAAGCTAAGCAGTGTCAGTCCTGATTTGTATTTGAATGGAGACCTCCAAAAAACACCAAAGTATTGTAGTAAATGGTGGTGGTTGGTCTGTATATGGTATTCTTCCTTCCATGTCAATCTGCTATGGATTGCAGATACATAATTTAGATATGCAACTCAGGGTTCAGTTTCATATCCAGACTTTTAGTTCCGGTCTATCTCTAATACTGTATATCTGTATAACACTGTTTGAAAACTTGCCACTTGGTACAATTTGAAGTACAAATTTGAATTTGGCAGTATTTGGTCCCTTATGCTGGAGGTTTTTGATTATTTTATATAGGAAGACAAAATTATATTTATTAAATGTGAGTTCTGTCATGTTTCCTAATTGGTATGCCCATGTAGGTGGTGGTTATCATTTAAATGCTTGAAAATTGTGCTTTTATTGAGTGTTTTCCTACATTAAGCCACAATAACTACCTGACTGCAGTATTATAGAGAGCTAGATTTTTATCCCTTTGCTGTGAAGGTAGGGTTTGATTTGAGGTTCTGTTAGTATTTCAGTTTGAAATGATACATTTGAAAATGATGCTTCCATACTATGGGGAAGAATATCTCTTCTAGATCCTGCTAAGTACAGCAGAGTCCTAGAATATTACAGCACACTTCCAGCAAATTTCACTTTGCTGTAGGATGAACAAGTTAAGCGCTTCAACACTGTTTTTCTCTTTCCAAGACTAATGTTAGTTGTCCCCCATATATCAGTGGTAGAGTGGGGTTGGACAAAAGGAGGCACTTCTCTGTGTAATTATGGTTCACAGCCTCTGTTGCACCCCACTACACTGACTCTTTTAGGTGGCGCATTGGCTAATTTATCACGTGTCTGTGTTGCATTTTTTTTTCATTTCCAAAACATTGTAAGATAGTACCCTCAGAACATCTTTCTTATTTATTTTTGTATTAAGGTAAAGTTACAATAAAACATTAACATACAACATTGTACTTTACTTATTCAGGATCAGGGTAATATTCAAGGAATTTGACTAAAGATTATGACTTGCTGGCTGGGGAGCCCTCCTCCTCTGAATACTCTAAAAAGGGTGACCACATTTCTAAATACCTATCCTCTTCTTGGAGCTTCTCTTGTGTACATACTTGCTGTAAAAGTTTTTCCATTATAAGGACACTCCAAATTTTACTATACCACAATTCCCTAGAATGAGAAGTCACATTTTTCCAATAATGTGCAATACAAAGTCTAACAATAAAAAAGAAATTAATTTGTTGTTCCATTTAAAATGTAGATCTTTACTGGAGCATTAAGTAAGCAGATATGGGGATCTCTAGGAAGCTGCCATTTTGTCATGAAGTGAATCTCTTTAATAATTTCCTCTCCAAACTGTCTAATTCCTGGACACAACCACCACATGTGCAAGTATGTTCCCTTTACCCCACAACCTTTCCAACAGAGCTCCTCCCTAGCTGCAAAAATATGATGGATCTTAACTGGAGTCATATGCGATCAGTATCGTAATTTATAAAAAAATTCTTTATGAGCTACACAAAGGCAGCTGTATCTAAATACCCTAACTAATTTTGTTTTTCCCCCATGAAAGAAATATACTGAATTCCATGATACGATTTAGTTCTGGGGGGAAGTTGTAAAGAATCATTGATTAATCAATATTAATTAGCAAGGGGGAAAAAGCCTTTTATTTTTAAATTTGATTGTTTTCATCTTAACGTCAGGGTTCTGTAGAGAGCCTCTTACACCTTCATCTCCAGCAAGGCAATAGGGGTCCTATATTTCTAGCCCTGAACGCCAGTATTTAATCAGCCCTTACTGTTTTGAATGTCTATTAGCGATACTCTTATTTACATGAGCAGACTAGGTTTCTTTCTTTAGCTTTAGTTTCTCACCTTACAAAAACAGTCAGACCTTTTTATGTGTTTCCAGGAATCTCATCGTCAGAGGGAGATAATTGAAGAGAGATACACTAAATACAAGGAAATTGTGGGCTCTCTACAGCAGCAGCTGGAGGATTCAAAGCGCAGAATCAAAAACTTCAAAGTATGTCTGTCTCCTTTCTCTTGTGTTGTTCCCTCTTGCATTCAGTCACTAGCAGATGCGCATTTTATGGAGATTAGCTCAAGTTGCAGGCATTGACTAAAATCCTATATGAGCAATGTTTCTGCTTCGCTTATCAGGCCTTGCCTGCCAAGTGTGCAGCCAAATGGGCCCCAGCTCTGTCAGCATTTATTCCCTAGAAACACCCCATTGCACTTTTTCTATTTGCTTTCCTTCTGGTCCTCTAACTTAAAAGGTAAATTTAGAGACCTAATTTTCCCCAATTCCCCAAGTGAAAAGTACCCTGATCCCCTCTCTCAGCTACCAACCTCATCGACTTATAGCAAAGTGCTCATTCATCATGTCACTTCTCATTGGTTACACTGCCAATAGCCACTTCCTTTAACTGGAAATTGAGAATTTCTTGTGGCACAGGGGGGCAGGGCAGCTTCCTGCACCAGTCAAGAAGGAGTTAAAGAGCTAATGAATCTTTTAAGGATGGGTCCTTAAAAGGGGAGGATCCAGGTTCACGCTGGGTAGCATCTGGTAACAACTGCACTAGAGCACAGAGCTCCCTGGTCCCAGGCAACAGGCTGTCTACTGAAAAAAATGCTTGAGAGCACCAGCCACACTGAGCCCTTTGATGAAAAAGAGGGACCAGCTTTTCCTTACTTTTCTTTGTGAAGCTCTGGGATTCAGCCGGGGTTGTTTGGACATGCAAGGGATAAGGAGCCCAGATCTTCCTCCCAAGGACTATTGGCCTTTACCCTGCAGGAGGCTGCAGGGACCCGGCCCATTTGTGAGCCATGGACATCTTTGTCTTTTTCTTTTGGACTATTTTAGCCCCGACCAGAAGAGGGCAGACTCCCTAAGAGTTATGTATCCCAAGTACATAACCCAGACTACAGTCCTGCTGCCCTCCAAAGAAGGATATCCAAGACCAGAGAGGGGCACCCTGCCTTTAACCCAGCGGGCCGTCAGAGAGATACAACTTATCACACACAGAAACAGGCAACAGATGATGGCAAAGACCAAAATAAAACAAAAGGTCCTTACCAATATTCTCACAAAACAACAGAGACAAAGTGAAACTCGCTTTCTTTCAACTATTTTGCAGGCCAGTGTTCAAACTCTAGTCAAGTTTCCCATGCTTCTCTTGACCTGCTGCTCACAAACAGGGAAGAATTGGTAGGGGAAGTAGAAGTGGGTGGCAACCTGGGCAGCAGTGACCGTGAGATGGTCGAGTTCAGGATCCTGACAAAAGGAAGAAAGGAGAGCAGCAGAATACAGACCCTGGACTTCAGAAAAGCAGACTTGGACTCCCTCAGGGGACTGATGGGTAGGATCCCGTGGGAGGCTAATATGAGGGGGAAGGGACTCCAGGAGAGCTGGCTGTATTTCAAATAAGCCTTATTGAGGGTGCAGGAACAAACCATCCTGATGTGTAGAAAGAATAGTAAATATGGCAGGTGACCAGCTTGGGTTAACAGAGAAATCTTCAGTGAGCTTAAACACAAAAAGGAAGCTTACAAGAAGTGGAAATTTGAACAGATGACTAGGGAGGAGTATAAAAACATTGCTCGAGCATGCAGGGGTGTAATCGCAAAGGCCAAAGCACAATTGGAGTTGCAGCTAGCAAGGGATGTGAAAGGTAACAAGAAGAGTTTCTACGGGTATGTTAGCAACAAAAAGAAGGTCCGGGAAAGTGTGTGACCCTTACTGAATGGGGGAGGCAACCTAGTGGCAGATGATGTGGAAAAAGATTAAGTGCTCAATGCTTTTTTTGCTTCGGTCTTCACAGACAAGGTCAGCTCCCAGACTGCTGCACTGGGTAGCACAGTATGGGGAGGAAGTGAGCCGCCCTCAGTGGTGAAAGAACAGGTTAAGGACTATTTAGTAAAACTGGACATGCATAAGTCCCTGGGGCTGGGTCCAATGCATCTGAGGGTGCAGAGGGAGTTGGCTGATATGATTGCAGAGCCATTGACCATTACCTTTGAAAACGTGGTGATTGGGGGAGGTCCCAGATGATTGGAAAAAGGCAACTATAGTGCCAATCTTTAAAAAAGGGAAGAAGGAGATTCCGGGGAACTACAGACCTTAGTCTGAATCCTCACCTTAGTCCCCGGAAAAATGATGCAGCAGGTCCTCAAGAAATCCATTTTGAAGCAGTTGGAGGAGAGGAAGGTGATCAGGAACAGTCAACATGGATTCACCAGGGGCAAGTCGTGCCTGACCAACCTGATTTCATTCTATGATGAGATAACTAGCTTTGTGGATAGGGAGAAAGCGGTGGACATGATATATCTTGGCTTTAGCGCAGCTTTTGATATGGTCTCCCACAGTATTCTTGCCAGCAAGTTAAAAAAGTATGGATTGGATGAATGGATTATAAGGTGGATAGAAAGCTGGGTAAATCGTCGGGCTCAACGGGTAGTGATCAACAACTCCATGTCTAGTTGGCAGCCGGTATAAAGCGGAGTGTCCCAGGGGTTGGTCCTGGGGCCAGTTTTGTTCAACATCTTCATTAATGATCTGGATGATGGGATGGATTGCACCCTCAGCAAGTTTGCGGATGACACTTAATTGGGGGTAGAGGTAGATTTGCTGGAGGGTAGGGATAGGGTCCAGAGTGACCTAGACAAATTGGAGGATTGGGCTAAAAGAAATCTGATGAGGTTCAACAAGGGCAAGTGCAGAGTCCTGCACTTAGGATGCAAGAATCCCATGCACTGCTACAGGCTGGGGACCAACTGGCTAAGAAGCAGTTCTGCAGAAAAGGACCTGGGGATTACAGTGGACAAGAAGCTGGATATGAGTCAACAGTGTGCCCTTTTTGCCACAAAGGCTAATGGCATATTGGGCTGCATTAGTAGGAGAGTTGCCAGCAGATTGAGGAAAGTGATTATTTCCCTCTATTTGGCACTGGTGAGGCCACATCTGGAGTATTGCATCCAGTTTTGGGCCCCCCACTACAGAAAGGATGTGGACAAATTGGAGAGAGTCCAGCGGAGGGCAACGAAAATGATTAGGGGGCTGGGGTACATGACTTCTGAGGAGAGGTTGAGGCAACTGAGCTTATTTAGTCTGCAAAAGAGAAGAATGAGGGGGGATTTGATAGCAACCTTCAACTACCTGAAAGGGGGTTCCAAAGAGGATGGAGCTAGGCTGTTCTCAGTGGTGGCAGATGACAGAACAAGGGGCAGTGATCTCAAGTTGCAGTGGGGAAGGTCTAGGTTGGATATTGGGAAAAACTATTTCATTAGGAGGGTGGTGAAGCACTAGAATGGGTGACCTAGGGAGGTGGTGGAATCTCCATCCTTAGAGGTTTTTAAGGCCCAGCTTGACAAAGCCCTGGCTGGGATGATTTAGTTGTTGTTGGTCCTGCTTTGAGCAGGAGGTTGGACTAGATGACCTCCTAAGGTCTCCTCCAACCCTATTCTTCTATGATTCTATGAAGACTCCAAGCTATGTTCAACGATTTAGTTGTATTTGGAGGGCTTTGTTTTGTTTTGGGGTCGTATGTAATGTCTACAGATTCTGAGCTCATAAGCGTGGAATTATTGATCTATTTCCTCTGGCAGAGAAATAAGAGAGGTGTTCTGGGCATTGACTTCCAGCTGACAGTGTAGCTATAGTAAGAAGCCCATGACTTCTCTGACATGTCCAAGCTATACTTCTATAGGAAAGGACTAACAGAAAGTGTGCAAGACAGCATCCATTTCAGTTCAAGTGCTGGAGTTAACCTTCAACTTCCCCCACTTCTCATGTCCCTCCACAGCAGTTGCCATCAGCAATTACCAGATTTGGAAACCTGTTGAAATGCTGGCTGGCAGCAAGGCCTGCATCAGCTGAGAATATAATGCAATATTGCACTAAGCTGACCGAGCTCACTGTGCTGGCTTGATCTGAATTTATATTAAGAACCCAATACTTGGCTTATTCCAAAATAATAATTTCCCCTTTCTTTAGACAACAGGAAACATTTCCTGGCTTCCCTTTAGTCAGGCCTAATTTGTTTTTTGCACAATATATAGTTGTCTTTGCTGTCACAGGTGTTGCAAATAGAACGGAATGTTCAAAAGCAGGTAACAGAAGGGTGCTAATCTGATTTCAGTGATCAGCCTGGCTTAGATCAAGAAATCCCTCTTTATTGCTTGCATTTCTTACCCTGCACTGAATTGTCTTATCTGCCTCAAATACACTATTGTTTTGCTTCGTTATGTTACTGTTACAATTTATCATTAGCTATTCTATCACTCAGCCTTATGGAAGAGAGCGCGATCTAAAGAGATCAAAGTTCCTGCTTGCTAACTGTTTCAATTCACACTTTATATACAGTGCAGTACACTCACTGTATAAAGTAGCCAAGTATTTGGTAAGTGATAAGGAAGTGTATTTTAAAAGGGAGTTTTTATAAAGAGCTTCTGTGGTGTGCAGTAGCCTCATATCAACCTTTTTACATACAGCTTCTTGCCTCAGTCAGCCTCCCTCCTCCTGTATGACCTGTAAGCCCTTCCTCGCCGAATGTGCTTCTTTCAGCTTGCTTTCTGACATTAATCTCGGAGAAGGCACTATTTGGTCTCACTTTTGGACCTCATTATTTTATTTTAAGCAACAAAAATAAAAACAAACACAAACCAGAAGGTGCATGATCACTCTTTGTAGATTGCTATCCCAAGATCAATTTTGCCCCATCCCTTTGTTTTCAGTTCTCACCTCCCTCCCATACTCTGTAATTTCATCTATTGAATTTAGGCTCATGATAGGCTGTAAAAAACCCGGTTGCTTAGAAGATCAGGACAAGTTATAAGTGCTATCTGGACAGATAGAAATGTCAGATTTCCTGCAATGGGGGAGGTGGGGAGTGGGCTGAGTAAAAATAAGCATAGTACTGAACTGTCAGTCGGGGGGCTGAAAGATAGTGGAGAAAAGAGAACTGAGGGTAGGGGAAGGGAGCAAGAGGAAGGGTAGAACACAGTAATAGAACTGATAATAAAACAATATGTAAAATAACAAAATGAAATGAGAGAGAGAAAATTCACAGTGATGGGCACTATGCTACATAGAACTGAACATTTTAAGAAAAGTTCCCTGCCCTGAACAGCTTACAACCTAAATATGCAAACAACGACAACAACAAAAAGCAAAACCATGAAGGGTGTGGGAAAAGGGTGTAACAGAGAAGCTGCCAACTCTGCAAATGGAGAGGCTTGTTGCAATGCAGAGATTGCAGGTGCAGTACCTCAAGTACTGCTTGTTAATAGGTCTGTTTTAAGATCGGATTTTTGGAGGGTGTGAAGATGAAGGAAGAACAGCTCCACAGTTCCATATTCAGGAAAAAATCCTGAAATTTGTTTTTTCTTTTAAAGATTATTACTGTAGGATGTATATTCTAGGTACCTCACTGACACACAAGGGGATTAATGTGTGTAATTCCCGTTAGTATTAATAGGAGCAAATCACCTGTACATTAATGGGACAAAAGCTCCCTTTTAGTCTCTAAATTAATGCTGGGGGGGAGGCGGTTTCCAAAGTGTAATTCTACTAAGAATGATAAATTGCAGGATGCTTTTAAGAAAATCCCCTGATGCTTTTTATGAGGAAATTGAGTAGCAAAGTGTAGTATTCCATGAACCAATACATATGAGTGTTATCCCTTCTCATCTGAAGAAATAAAGTAATTAGAAACTAAGCCAACCCGTTAATCTTGTTTTGGAGAGCAATATATCTAAAGACCCCTTGCTTCAATGCTAAAACACATTTCCAGATATTTTTGGTTAAATTGCATTGTTTAAATGTTCTACTCTAGCCTCTAGACCAAGTGCCTCCTCTCAACAAAGTAATATGTTGTATGCACATATCCAGATGCTCTTTACTGTATAAATAAGAACAGCATATATGGTATTTTACTTTATTTTAAAATTGGGAGGAAAAATGGAAAAGCAATTTCAGGTTTTCATAGGTGAACTATCAAACCTGTATTTAAAAGTTTTGGATTTAATTAACGGAAGGTGAAAATGGATTTGAGTTTTGCAGTTACTTAGATTTCTTGTTGGAACAAGTTGATGTGGATCAGTGTTCAGTTGTGTCATCAATGCATGCATGCTCTGTCCTTCTGTTTCGTTCTGGGGTCTAGATGTGATTATACAGGAAAGGAAACATGCCACATTTATACAGCTCGTTATAGTGGCAAGAAGCGGCCAAGCTCCCTGGGCAAAGCAGGGAAAGTAGCTTCTTTCTAGGAGTTCTGAATGTTGACAAGGGCAAGAAATTTGGGACAAAATCAGATGTAAACCTAACTACAAGATTTATGTTCTGGGGATTGGAATCAGAGTTTATCAGTTTCATGCTAAAAAATAACATCTCTGTGTATAACTAAACTGGAGGCTGTTTTTAATCTCAGTAAATAAGGAGATATATAACTTAAGTAATGCAAATTTTTCACAGAAAGCATGTTCATTGCCTTTCTTAGGATGAGAAAATGGATGCTGATGTTTCCGACATACAAGCGGCAACTCTCTCCTCCAACTGGCGGACTAAAACCAGCTTTATGTCTAGCTCACTGCTTTCAGATTCAGGCTGTAAGTATTGTTATTTAATAGGAAAACGCCACAACACAATTGGGTATCCTCTGCTTTTAAAACTATTTTAGTGGAATGACAGAGACCCCATTGAAATCATCATAGGATTCTTGCTGGCTTTCAGCTTCAGGCACTGAATTTATTGCTTTACCTAGTTAGTGCTATGTCACACTGGGATTTTTTCCATTTGGAAATACTGCATTTTGTCAGCAAAGTCCAGAAGAAAGAAAATTACATGCATTGTAATATGAATCCTGGCAGTGGTAACCTTAGATTTAAAAGACACTGCATTTTCAGGTCACATGCAGATACCCAACCAAAGCACCCCCTACGAATTCCTATTAATTATTCTGTCTGACATTCGTGCCAGTGGAGTGTAACAGCAGAAGCAGAATTCCCTGTCCATTACCTCCTTTTTGGAAAGTTGCTGTTTGGTTGCAACTTCCAGCCCATGAGTTTATGCGTAACAGGTCACAAGAGTCTGCGGCAGTCTCTCAAAGAGGTAGTGATGTGATGAATGGGAGACTCTGAAGGGATGATGAGTTCCAACTCTGATGAAGTTGATCCTTTTCTGAACACTACTAAACCATCTCTGCCACAACTGACTTACAAAAATACCTCTGAAGAGATTATTTGGTCTCTGGAACAGGCCAGTTTGCAGCAGGCATCAGATTTTTTTTTTTTTTTTAATTCTGGAGAATGATACCCCTACAATTGTGTCACACACACCCCCAAATAATTTCAACATATACAGGTTGAATGCTGTACTATACGTTTGAAGCATTGTACTCTGTATTTTTCTGAAACAGTGTCAGAGTTCAGTGCTACCTGCACCTTTCATCCATCTTTGGTCTCTCTGAGAGGCCCCATACTGGTGACAGGCCTTGAGTCCTCACCTCCTCAGTGTGGAATCCTGTGGTTCTGTCACTCTTAAACTGTCTCACAGGGGTGCCGCACTCTGTACCAACTATGATTGCTCAGCAGACCCAGTGAATTTGGCTACCTTGGTTCTTCCCTTCTGAGCTATGACCAATGGTAAATAGTTACCCAGAACAACCTTTTCAAAACCAAGTATTGTTTAATCACAACAGTAGATACACAGCATGTCATGACAAAAGGTTTTGAAACACAGTAAGAGGTCTACACATACATCTGTTTTGCCTATAGGCTTAGGGGAGGGATAGCTTAGTGGTTTAGGGGAGGGATAGCTCAGTGGTTTGAGCATTGGCCTGCTAAACCCAGGGTTGTGAGTTCAATCCTTGAGGGGGCCACTTAGGGATCTGGGGCAAAAATCAGTACTTGGTCCTGCTAGTGAAGGCAGGGGGCTGGACTCGATGACCTTTCAAGGTCCCCTTCCAGTTCTAGGAGATAGGATATCTCCATTTATTTATTTATTTTATTAGGTAGGCAAGCTTATCCCAGATACCCCAACCTCTGGGGACTTGAAGTTCAGTCTTCTCCCCAGAGGAGTTATTTAAGTTAAGTACCATGAACACAAGAATAAATGGCTATAAACAGACCATCAACAAGTTTAGGCTCAAAATTAGGTGATAGTTTCCAGCCATCAAAGGAATGAAATTCTGGAATAGCCTTCCAAGGGGAGCAGTGGGGGCAAAAAACCTAACTGGCCTTAAAGACTGAACTTGATAAGTTGATGGAGGGGATGGTGTGATGGGACTGCCTACCGTGGTATATGACCCATCGGCGACTGCCAGTAGCAAAATCCCCAACAGCCGGAGATGAGACACTAGATGGGGAGGGCTCTGAGTTACTACAGAGAATTCCTTCCCAGGTATCTGCCTGGTGGGTCTTGCCGACATGCTCAGAGTCCAACTGATCACCATATTTGGAGTCGTGAAGGAATTTTCCCCCGAGTCAAATTGACAGAGACCCTGGAGGGGGGGGGGGTCATCTTTCTCTGTAGCATGGTGCACAGGTCATTTGCAGGTTTAAAATAGTGTAAATGGTGAATTCTCTAACTTGAAGTCTTTAAACCATGATTGGAGGACTTCAGTAACTCAGCCAGAGGTTAGGGGTCTATTACAGAAGTGGGTGGGTGAGGTTCTGTGGCCTGCAATGTGCAGGAGGTCAGACTAGGTGATCACAATGGTCCTTTCTGACCTTAAAGTCTATGAGGTAAAATTTAAAAAGTAAATGACCCCGATATTATCTTTTAAATACCAGCAAGTGGAGCTATCTGAAGCTATTGTTCTCTTTCCTGCATGTGTGCAAATAACCCCTGCCTGAATTAACCTCTTGCAATCCTATAGCAAAAAACATACAATACCAATCAACCACAATATATAATATTCATATACGATTACAGGCATCCCCATGTCCTTCACACAGAGTAAAGATATTCTCTATGAGTGGCATTTATAGGAGTTTATTAGCCAAGTAATTTTTACCTACTTCAGCAGTTGTGGTTCTGAGAAACAATTCTGGAAAGTAAACAAATAGATTTGCCAATCCTTTATTCTTCCTCTCTGACCCTAGACAGGGCTTCTTGCAGACTAATATAAAAACAGTGTTTTGGTTGGAACCCTTTGTTAAAATATTGGCAGACCGAAGGCTGCCAGACCCTGAGTGAGCATTACAGGCAGGCAGAAAGTGATGAGGGGATGGGAAACAATTTTATATTCCATGCCTCTGTGTGTGGGGTGGCGGTAAGATAGCTATATAGAGAGGGAACTGGATTGCATTCATTTATGTTACCTGACAAAGGGCCTTGCAAAACTATGGGCCATCTCTGATCCTGTAAAGTGATAATTAGTGCTTCCATAGCAATCTTCATTTTTATAGCACTTCACAAACTATATTAATTGCATAGTGCATGGGATTATCATCGTCGTTTCATCATACTTCTTCTGTTACAGTCCTTGGTTATGAATCTTTGACAGTCACCTCTTAATTTAGTATCAATCAGATGAATCACAATAACATACTTCTGTGAAACCCTACAGAAAATCTACCAATTTATTCTGCCTTGGTCTGCTGCTTCAGCACATCTGAGCTCTTATATCTACACAGCACAAGGAATCTCACCACAGAATCAGAGGAGATACTCTTATTTTTAGGTGGAAGTCCTGACACAGTCTGTCTTGCAGTGCAATCTAGTAACTATCAACTATCTCAATGTTGTAACTGAAATCAGTATATTTGAAAATGTAGACAAAAATCCAAAAATATTTATAATAAATTTACATTTGTATTCTATTATTGTTTAGAGTGTGATTAAAACTGTGATTAATCAAAACTATTTTTAATCTACTTAATTTGTTTTGCATTAATCACTTGAGTTAACTGTGATTAATTGACAGCCCTACTTTGTAGTGATGGGGGTAAATACAAATGTGGAGTCTTTGTTTGTGTATTATTACATCTATCCTTGATTAAATATGATTTTCTTCCAAATAAGAACTGGAAACACAGTTAGCAACTATCATTTTTATAACATTCATGGATTTCTGTATGGGAAGTAGAATGAACTACCTGATTCAGGGGACATACTTGAATCATACCTGAAAAGGGGCCATATCAAAATATCACAACCACATGAGGCAAAGAGCAAAAATTGAATGGGTCCTTGAAATGGAATTCTTCTTCAAGCATTAGAGGAGTGGTTCCACCAGGGTAGAGCAAAATGCTGGAGTAGAGTAACGTGGGGTAAGCTTGAATGGCCACTCCCCACGATGTACCTGTTCTTTGGCTGAACAGTGGAATTCATTTTCTAGAGCTAATCAGAAACCTTTCAGCAGAACTAAACTCTCTGGAGGAAAAAAAAAAAAAAGCGGCTGCTTGATAAGAGCATTGATCCCACTTTAATCATTATGGTATATCTGCATTCAACATCATATGGGGAAAGTTCCTTTCTAAGAATATAAATGTGGCTGAACGATTGCTGCTTACTTAGTTTTTCTTAACTTTTATAATTGGTTGGGGAGGCGTTTCCCATATGGTCATTTTGGCTAACCCATCCTCATAGGTCTGGTGGTAATCCTCTCATGAACCTGTCCAGCACTATGATTTCTATCATCTTCTCCATGCTGTGGATCTCTGGGCACAGCCACTTCCGTGTTAGATGGATCAGGTCGAACAATTGTGACCTCGGCACTTTGCCGTCCTGGTACCTCCACTCATAGAACCTCTGGGCCCTTATAGCTGTCGTCACCCCAGATCTCGCCAGGATCTCTGCCTTCAACTGGGGGTAATCTGTGGCTGCTTCTGCTGCTATGTCATAGTAGGCCTTCTGGGCTTCCCCACACAGGAAAGTGGCAAGGATGCTGGCCCACTGGTCTTGGGGCCAGGCCTCATGTAGGGCCATTCTCTCAAAGGCCTCCACATCATCTTCCACCGTCATCTTTTGCAGGTAACTCCTGGCCCTTGGGGTCGCGCCTCATTAAGGCCGTGTGTCAGAGTGGTCAGGGCCTTCAGCTGGCTCACGACCTCCTGCAGGGTGTCTCGATCCTGGGTTGCCTGGGGGGGAGGGATAGCTCAGTGGTTTGAGCATTGGCCTGCTAAACCCAGGATTGTGAGTTCAATCCTTGAGGGGGCCATTTAGGGATCTGGGGCAAAAATCTGTCTGGGGATTGGTTCTGCTTTGAGTAGGGGGTTGGACTAGATGACCTCCTGGGGTCCCTTCCAACCCTGACATTCTGTGATCAGCAGCTGATTCGTTTCCTGTTGCAGTCGTACCGACTCCTGTTGGGTGGTCAATTGGGCCCTGGTAGCCTCTTGTGCTGCTGTGGCCTGCACCAGTGCCCTCACTACATTGTCCATTTTGGGGCGGGGGGGTGATTTACCTTGCCCTGGGATGGTTCTCAGTGCCAGTGCAATGCCACTCCTTACACCACGTGTGGCAAGGCACCCCTTCTGCCTCGCCAGACGTAACGCTCCCTCCTCTGGCCTGGGATAAATCAGCGCCACTCTGGAGTGTGTCTTTCTTCCCTTTTTGGCGTTTGTTTCTCAGAGCCTTCCCAGCAGGTCTCGGGGCAGGCCTA